GACAACCAGTACTTGTTTTATCCCCTCAATGCTGAGCGCCAGGCAGGTTAACAACAAGTACCATCTTTTAACATTTTTTGGTATGACGCAGCTGGGGATCGAACAACTGAGCTTCTAGTCTCCAGGCAGATGCTCTACCATTAGACCACATCTTCCCGAGGCAACAGTTAACTGAGTTAACTGACTTTAAAAGTCCAGTTTCCACCCTTGCCGAACTAGGCTGGAATTCCTGGGCTCGATCGTAGCGCCACCAGTGATTATAATGAGTTATGTCCTTTCTATGCCTCTCTTATTGACCAATCAGATTCAACCTCTTGTATCACTTGCATTTGCTTCAAACAAAACGGTGGCGCCCAGTCAAGACGATCTGATCGATCTATATTGTGATAAAACAAGTCTTACATCGCTAAGTGCATCAAATCACGTGAACAACTTGATTAAAAACATGAAAAGATTTAGAAAATATCTGTTGACAACGAGTTAGCGGTGCACATTCTTTGCTAATCATGCTAATCCTGCAGGTTTTACAGGACTAGCAGGCTCCTCTTGGTTTTACCCCCTGCCGGTGTGTTAGGGATGTCATGTTCACCAATGCATCAATACATCAATGCATGCCTCCTGATGTATTGACTCATATTTAAAGGCTCTATCGATTTTCAAACAGTAATATCACAAGGATGTTTTGGCTTATTATGGGAGGTTAGCTTAGCATAACACTCAACCCTTTAACATGGAAACACTTCTAAATGGGCAGATATGACCCTTGCTTAATGTTAGTGAAAGTTACTCAGGAACAAAGTAGTGCTGATTCAAGTCTGTTGACTAGTCCATGTATGGGAGGTAACTCTTGTTGAAGCACATGTAAAATATCTAAGTGGTGTGAACATTGCAAAAGTGACTGAATGACGTTAAAATCAATTTTGATTGCAAGAAAATACAGAATCTGCCATGTTGGAAGATCTCTAAACAACTACATCTGATAAAATGTTAACAGATCTCAGGACAATCTTAATGAAAGAATAAAAAAAAGTGTATTTCAGTAAAAACTTCAATAGTGTTAAAATAAGCCTGAATCATGCAGAATGTCTTCATGACCTCCAGAAATTTGCAAAATCCACAACAGAACTTGGCAAAGTTTACCAAGGAATCCACAAGGGACTGTCTAATGGAGCAGAAAAGCCAGTGATCTTTCATCAAGGTAAATGTATTGCTTGTACATGTATCTCATACTGACATATCCACATGACACCATATTGCATTACTGCATCAATACACCACTACATCACACCCTAGACCAAATACTCTGGTATCTGGATTCCAAAATACCTTATACTGAATCAGGACAAATGATCCATCAAAAGGCGAGATTGAAAATCTGGCTCCAAAGTGAAGACGATAGAATCAGCAGCCCTGAAAAGCTGAAGTGTATGACACAGTGGACTAAGTGAGGCTTCAATGAACCGCTGGATGTAAAACATTACTGGCATGTTCCCTGTCTATGTTTCAGAAACGAGGGATACGAGAAATCCCAATGCATGCTGTAAACGCACCAACTAGAGGAATTACTATGTGACTTGCATGTAGTTATTGCCGGCCAAAAGCTGTTAAGAAATCCAATGAATGTGGGATTGCACTGTTTCATTCACACCAGTCATCAAAGTAACAGCTATACCTCAGTGTCCTGTAAATAACTGAGCCTGGTAGACACAAGGAACAACAGTCCAAGCAATCCACTAACAGCCAGGTCACACATTGTAACCATCCAATCCTCATTCAAGTCTGCATTCACAACTAGTACAGTGATCCCTCGCTATAACGCTACCTTTGCGTGTCCAAATAATAGATGAGCATTATAGACAATCTGCGGTTTAACCGAGGCGTCAATAGCGGAAATCTGACTGTGATTGTTGTAGGCCCTGAATAATGGTGAGTTGTGCGACCTATAGATCACTTCACACACGATTTTGTGTTAATGTGCGCTATAACTGAGTTAGCGTTATATTGATGGGTGATATAGCGAGGGAACACTGTATTAGTTTTCCGACTATTCAGGCCATAATTTGCCAATGAATCCCCTGGGGATGAAGCAATGCCTACCTTGTCTGATGTGGTGAGGGGGCAGGCCGTGGCGAGGTAGGTCACAAGTTGTAGATGCTCCCCCAGGTGGAAGTGACGACCTTTACCCTGGCAGTACAGCCACTCTCCCTGCAGTCTGACAATACAATGTGAACATGTTACTACAGAGGTAGTGAAATTACCGTATTCGACGTAATAAGCATCCATGGCGTTATTTGTTAATATATTGGCTAGTGAACTGTGTATCCCAATTAGCATCCCTTCCGATTGATCAATGTACACAAGACTTACTTATTTGTGTATAAAACGCACTCATGTGTTATATGCACCCTTAATTATGGGCAATTAAATGCTGGAACATATATCTGTTGTGTATAATTCGCTCAGACTTTTCTTTTGTATCATTTCAGGCTGTCAGCAAAAACCACGAAATTTATGATCTTTCAACTCTGTTTTTTCACTCACTAAAAATATATCCTAATAAGAGCCCCCTATTTCTAATTTTGAGAGCACCCTGGGCGCTTATTACGTCGAATACAGTATTCAAAATAATTCAGGAATAATTTACCAGGGTCATAACATCAATCACAATAAAACATATCTCTTCTTGTATACACGAGAACACTGATTATCCCAGCATTAGAGGTTTTGGAGGACATGCATAGAAAATCTTCCATTGTAATTTTTCATTGCCAAGTCTTAGTTGGGACTATTACTCGTTTCTTATGCTGTGAGGAAGTAGAAGGTATTTGAAAACATTACTAGTAAGTAATATCACAAGTCCTAAACCTTGCAATTTACTACATGATGTTTTGAAAAGAATTTAGTACTTCAGGTCAGATGGTCAGTTATATAACATCAATGTTTTGTGAAATCTTTATCATGCTCACGCTATTATCACAGCATGTCATCATATTTAATGTGGGTAGGAAACCCAAAGTGATGAGATCAAAGACCTTTATCACTTTCATGGAACCCATTGGTATTGGCGTAGTGCTGAAAGTCCAGCAGATCCTGGCACAACTGAGGGGCACAACTCTGCACAGCCAATTGCCATATCTAGGCCAAGGGGTCCCTCTTGTCCCTAAAGGCTTTTTATCATCCAAAACTGTCTCCCACAGGAGATATCGCTTGGGTGAGATCAAGCATTATCTAGACTGTAGATATCACTGCTTTGCAGACCATTGTGACGTCATTGGTTATCATGACATCAAAATCAAATGACTTCACTAATGGCTCTGCTACTGAAGCTGTTAGCAGTTCTTTTTACACTTAAGACACCGCTTATTACCCTCTACAAAATGAAAAAGTTGGAAGAATGATGTTGGATGATAAATAAAATCTCACCCTCGTGTCTTTTAATATCAAATATATCAACACTCGTTGATAAAAGTGGAAAAAATCCTCGGCAAGCCTCTGAGTTTTCCCACTTTTATCAACTCGTGTTGATATATTTGATATATTTGATATGTTTGATATATGAAGAGGATGACAACAGCAGTAACTACACCTACTTCTCCCTCTCGGAGACGACAAAGCCGTCCAGCAAGCGCAGTGTTGGACACCAGTTGACCACATATGGCCGATAATCAAACCCTGTACACTCTGTCAAGGAAGTTCTCCAAAACATGCTGATAAGGTTAAATATTGATTGTCGCAATATTTGATCACCTTAACTAACAAACCCATAAATAGTATATTATTACATATAATTATAGTAAATAACAGCAAGTTCATTCACCTATCTTTTTTTCTGTAGTGCTCTTTTAAAGTTCAAATGGCCTGTAAGCACAGATTGGCCATGAAAATTACCTCCCAAGTCCAAAAGTCTCCCTACAAAAATTCTAAAAAAAGCCTTGGTTAATCGTATTCATGTGAAAAGGTTGACATTTTCGCAAACAAAAATAATGTGTTCATTATCTCTTAGATAAAACATCTCACGAAGTCATAATGACTTTGTTTTCATACAGTCCGCTTGTAACTGTCTTATTATTTATGTACTCAACACAATGTGTCGATGGGTATGTCTGACGTATTGGCTTCTTGACATGAAAGTACCCAACCTCATCTAAATCAGATGTTAGTTCTCACTACTGCTTAACTTTGTCTAGCGGTAGAAAGAACTAAGGTGAGGTGAAATGGGGTTTAACGTCCCGTCCAAGATTATTGCCCTTTTATAGCGACGTGCATGTACGTGTGTGTGTTTGTGTGGCTGCTTGTACTAGTCCGGACTGATGCCGATTTATAGTGCTAGCTCACTGAGATACCACGCCGCAGTTTAACATGAATACCCCACTCAGACACAGCATACTGACTCCGAGCCGACCAGTCCTTGTTTAAGCCCCTTAATGCCGAGCACCAGACAGGGTAACAACAAGTACCATCTTTAAACGTCTTTTGGTATGGGGGCGGTCTGGTAGCCTAGTGGTTAAAGCGTTCGCTCGTCACGCCGAAGACCTGGGTTCGATTCCCGACATGGGTACAATGTGTGAAGCCCATATCTGGTGACCCCCGCCGTGATATTGCTGGAATACTGCTAAAAGCGGCGTAAAAACCATACTCACTCACTCACTCACTCTTTTGGTATGACGCGGTCGGAGATCGAACCCCGGACCTTCCGCCCCCCGGGCGGACGCTCTACCACTAGACCACAGAGGCGGTCTAGCAAGTACTAAGACCTGCTTTTGATGAGATTGTGACATGCCCTGAGACACATCTTAGTGAGCACTGGCCAGGTTTGTTTGTTTTTAAAAACCAAACTCAGCAATATTGCAGCTATATTATGAAGGCCTTTAAATAATCCAGTCTGGACCAAATAAACCACTGATTGACACTGTGAGACGTCCTACAACGTCTGGGTATGATGACAACCAAGTCACCAGGCCTGACCACCCACTTCAGTCATAGGGTTGTACAAGTTTAACCCAGAATCTACATGAGGCCAAAGACATGATGTACAGCGTTTGTAGCTTGTATAGAAGGATATTGTGTGAGCGCTGTCATGAGGACACAGGGGTTGTTGGCCAGAGACAGCTGATCCAGGTCAGGAAGACTCGCCAGGTAGCACATCTAGGGAGTAAACATAGGGAGAGTAAACACAGGGAGAGTAAACATAGGTAAGAGTAAACATACGTAGAGTCATCATGTGTGAATATTCTTAGTTCTCGGAGTTCCTAACAAATTTTAAATCATATGATGGTGACCTGTTGATAATTGAGTCTGGGTTGGCAGCTTGTGGTTGATAAAGTGAGCACCCTTTAGGCCAAGCTTCTTTTATTTTTAGATTACAGATTTTTCAGCCCAAAGTCCAGGGTTGGAGGTTGGATGCATTTTTTTTATGCAGAATGCCCCTGGCATACTTTATGAACATATTCTGTGCTCAAAAGGCCGCCATTTGTGAGGATAAAGCCCCTTGTAACAATAAAAGTTCTACCACTTACAACACGGACAATTGTCAAGGGAGGCTATTCATGTCCGGCTTCAAGATCAACAAATATTGATTATGTATTTCTTTACTAGTTTACAATGGTAAATTCATATGTTTTTTATTAAAAGGTGATGATAACAAATAAAATAACTGACTATGTGGCTATCGATGGGGAAAAAAATATATGGAAATCTGATTTATTTTTTTTACATTTTCTCAAAATTTAGAGTCGGCGGGTCCGTAATCCGAAAAATATAAAACGCCTGGCCTACAGTGTTTTCAATTCAGAGGTTTTGAACGCTGCTTCCATACCTGAAGTTTCCTTTGCAACTGAACATTAAAACCTATATTCAATATATCCCCATTCTACCATGAGACAATAAGAAAATACATTACTCAAAGTAACATTGGAAGTGATGATGTGGCATCATTTGTAGCTAATATTTCCAGTAGGTTTTGTTTGTTGTTTAACGCCGCACTCAGCAATATTCCAGCTAAATTACGGCGGTCTGTAAATAATCGAGTCTCGACCAGACAATCTAGTGATTGATATCATGAGCATTGATAGTCACAATTGGGATACGATGACATGCACCAACCAGGTCAGCCGGCCTGACCACCCAATCCCGTTAGTTCCATATAGCTGGAATATTGCTGAGTGCGTTGTTAAACAAACAAACATCATATCTGAAGAATTCTCACCTCATTGAGGTCACACAGGTCATTACTCTCAAGGGAGAGAACTCTGACTGATGGCGGAATACAAGCAGGAATAGGCTTAAGACTTGAAATTATATTCCCATGAAGTAAGAGGGTCTGTAAAAGATAAAAGAGTTGTCATAAAAAATATACTGGAATAAAAAGTCGTTTATCGCAAATAAAACTACATTCTATCCCCAAACTCTGGTATTTAAAGACATTGTACATGCAATTCCTCATGTTGAATCTTCTCTCCAGTGGCTTTTGCATCATCTATCCCAATGATTCATTTTTACATCTGGGATGCACACGCTAAAACATGACCGGCAGTTTTTACCGACAGCACTGACAGTGACCCCAGGTTTTGAAATTCCTTGTATTTGGCACAGTTAAAGTAGTAATGGTACGAGTTAAAATAAGTTCCCAGTGCTTGAGGACACACTTAGAAATCATTCTTTGTTGACAATATTACCTTGTGACAATGTTCATAGTGAGTAAGTTGGGTTTAACGCCACTTTTAACAATATTCCAGTTACATTCTGGCATGTCAGCTTAATGTGGGAGGAAAGCCCGAAGTGATGTAGGTCTCAGACGTTTACCACTTCGGTGAAACCCACGAGCACGGGTATGGTGCTGACAAACCTAGAAACATAATCGGGGCGAACCGGGATTCGAACCCACAATCATAGGTCTCTGGCGTGCCCAAGGGACGCAACTCTGCACAGCGAATCGCGTCGCCTTAGACGACTGGGCCACCCGTGCCCTCGACAATGTTCATAACATCAAGCCACAATTAAACATGTCAAATACATGGAAAATCTGTGTTTGAAACTAAGCATGAAAGTCAAGGGGTTCTTGTCATAACTCTAACGTTAAAAGTTGCAGATTTAAGGGGGTCCCTAGATTCCAATACTATAGGAGCAAACCTCCAGGACACCGGGACCCGTTTCAAGTATGAACACTGACCATGATGAACACGATGAACATGTGAACACCCTTTATGAACAGTATGATTCATAAAAGACAACAAGGTCATCGATATCCCCAGCAATGGCCAATACTTGATGATGAATACGTCAAGTTTGGTGAAAAAATATTGTACAGTTTTCAAATCTGCTCTGGAAACGAGCACTACTGCCATTTCCAGCTTAAGTCAAAGTTGTTGACATGGAAACTCGAACAATATATTTGTCGAAAATCTCAAACTATCAAGAGGCACCAGTCCACCACTAGACACATCTATGTGCCAAGTTTGGTGAAGAAATATTGTATGGTTTTCAAGATCTGCTCTGGAAACAACATCTTGCATGGAGCGCTGGATGGACATTTTAATAACCCCCGCAAAACGCGTTGATTTTCTGAGAAATTTGACATTGAATAATTGACTCCTTTTTCCTTATCGCGATGTTAGATTGGTCGGTAAAATGTTTATGAAAATCAAGGGCAGGTAATTTCAGATCGCGAGAACCATGGGAATGGATCCAGGGGTTAATGTAGGTTTACAAGTGAGTGAGTGAGTTGGGTTTAACGCCGCTTTTAACAGTATTCCAGTCATATTGCGGCGTGTCAGCTTTATGTGGGAGGAAAGCCCGAAGCCACGAACACGGGTATGGTGCTGACAAATCTAGAAACATAATCGGGGCGAACTGGGACTCGAACCCACAATCAAAGGTTTCTGGCGTGCCCAAGGGACGCAACACTGCACAGCGAATCGCAGCGCCTTAGACGACTGGGCCACCCGTGCCCCCCCTAGGTTTACAAAAGTACTCTTCAAGTTGCACACTTTAATTCCAAAAGGCACACCTTAATATGTTTGTGAATGCCCTGTGGCCTTAATATTATCCGTAGATACCGATTAACATGAAATATGAACTAGACCAAATTGTAATGATTCATAAAGACTAAAATTCAACCAGCCCTAAACTTAAAAGTTCGACAAACTGACTGAGGTATATGCTGGTCCATAAAGTAACAAGATGCTTGCCTGCACAGAGATTCAAACACAACAGCAGCAAACTCCAAGGACCTCAAGACCCACTTAAATTCTAACACTGCTGGGGGCAGTCTGGTAGCCTAGTGGTTAAAGCGTTTGCTCATCACGCCGAAGACCCTGGTTCGATTCCCGACATGGGTACAATGTGTGAAGCCCATTTCTGGTGTCCCCCGTCGTGATATTGCCTGAATATTGCTGGAATACTGCTAAAAGTGGCGTAAAACCATACTCACTCACTCACTCACTCACTCTAACTCTGCCAAGTGACAAAGTAAACCACGGCTTGTGTCACACAATCCAATCTTAGAAGACACATGCTGATGCAATATGTCTGACATGCTCTTAGCATATGGCATCATGCACATGTTGTTACCTTGAGAATAGACAGGGGAGATAACTCCCCAAAGACAGCAATGTTGTTGTCTGATAGGTCCAAATGGCGCAGACGGGCATTATGCTTCAAATTCTCAATAACCTGCAATAAAGACAAATTATTCATTTCATATAAAAACACTACCCAAGGTCAAATGCAACAATGGATGTAAATGTATTCTCCTTGAAACAGTGACTTAACTTCAAGCCTTTTGTTGGCATCAAGAAATGCCTGGAACATGAACACATACAAGTTGGATAGCACTTCTAAGTTCAATGTAAAGACCGTAACAGATCTCAGGTAATGATTTCTTAAACAATTGTACAAGTGGCAACCAATCTTTTGTGTGACAATATGGAAACCTGTCTGAACCAGGAGACTGCAGTCTGTGCCAAACACTTTTGAATCTAGTTGACCGAACCTGTCTTTTGGCAACTTTTCCAGTAGATCATAGTGTTAATGTATAGACTTTTATTAGCAAAGCTGACTAGGCCGATAAATCTTTTACTTGACTCAGGTTACAGGCTAATGGCTAATGTCACAGCCAAAGTCTAAAGTTGTTGATTGTTGTTCGTTGTTTAAGGCCGCACTCAGCAATATTTCAGCTATACGACGGCGTTCTGTAAATAGTTGAGTCTGATTGACATCTACGCAATTGGGAAATGATGACCTGCATCAACCAAGTCAGTGAGCCTGAACACCCGATTTCGTTATTCGCCTCTTACGACAAGCACAGTCGCCTCTTACAGCTTGCTGAAGACCTATTCTCTACCGAGATCTTCATGCATCCTGAATCTAAAGTTTCATGTGATATTGTCACGTGATGTGTCATGCTTTTGATAATGTAGGTGATACCTGAGAAGCAAGGGTTTTGTCTGATGTGAGAATTCCTATGTACAGTGAAACCTTGATTGTCTGGATCCCATTCATTTGTAAACCCCTCCTCCCAGACAATTACAGCTGGAAATGCTTACATTTCGGTGACATTACTTTGAAACCATGATTTGTTAATACGGAAACCTGATAATCTGTACGATTTCAGTGGTGATGTCAGTGTCTGGTTTAACGAGGTTTCACTGTATTGTAAGAAAGGATGGTTGTACCTTGATACTGTTGCCACTAAGATCTAGCCAAGACAGGTATACCAGGTCTGTGAGTCCTAAAATATATAAAACATCCATCATCAATCATGTTAATATCACATTTAATATAATAAATGATGTTCTTCAAATATCTTCAAACCAACAACATCCGAAAAATGTCTGTCATACACATTAAAAGGGATACAAACATTGTTTTCAGATGTTTATGTCTGTCACAAGGCACTCACACAGATGTTTAGGTGTGTCACAAGGCACTCACACAGATGTTTAGGTGTGCCACAAGGCACTCACACAGATGTTTAGGTGTGCCACAAGGCACTAAAAAGATGTTTAGGTGTGTCACAAGGCACTCACACAGATGTTTAGGTGTCACAAGGCACTCACACAGATGTTTAGGTGTATCACAAAAACTCCCAAAAATGTTGACGTGTGTCACAAGGCACTTACAAAAATGTTAAGTGTGCCACAAGGCACTCACAAAGACATTTAGGTGTGCCCTTTGCAACATCAGTGTCCCAACACAAAAGCAAACTTTTGATTCATCTTCAAATTCTGTGGACTGAATTCACCATGAACTAGACAATAATCAGTTGTAACAGGTGTTGTCATTTCTAAAGGGTGTTTACCTTCTATGTTGACAATGCTGTTGTTGGAGAGACGCAGTACAGTGAGATGGATGAAGGAAGACACGCCCACCATGCGAACCAGGTGATTGGATGCTAAGGATAGCTAGGGAATATGGGCAGAACATTAGGAAATACTTTTCACTAAACATAAACTACATTATCAACGGACATAGCAATGTTTGAAATTAAGCATGAAAGTCAAGATGTCCTTATCTTAACACTAACATTTCAAGCAAAACTTTTGGGTGACCTCAGATTCATATATCAGAGCACCAACCCTATAGAACCAGATTTCTTTAATTTTGAACCCTGGAAAGTAGCGATAAGACCAGTCAACCCAGACAAGCTGTCAGATATGGTTGGAACTTGGATGGCTAGAGAGCAAAGGTATTTTAAAATCACAAAATTTTGGTAAATGAAAAGTGAATCTACACTTGCCCCACCAAAGTGGTTGCACTGGATATGAGGGTAATGTATTATAGAATATCACACATTATTTACCACTGAGCAACTTTCGAGCACTCCTAAATTGTCACATTTCAGACATATTCTTGTTATGTAGCCTGCCCCAAACCAGGATTAGGTACAGTATTGCCTGAACTATACACACAAATACACATCTGATGTAAACAACAACACTGAACGTTATAGATACTGGTTTCATTCCTACCGCACATAAGCACTGTGTACCATATATAGTAGTCAAGAGGGTGAAAAACAGTGATTACCTGTTGTAAGTCCTGCAAGTGCTCCACACTTTCTATTTTCGAGATGCTGTTTTGATCAAGAATAAGTCCATTGGGGTGTAAACCTTCTGGTATGTCAAATTTCTTTAATCCATAGCCAGTGAAGTCCAAAACCCCACCTTCACCATCTGAAATGTTAAAGAGGAATAATCTGATTATAACTTTTTGAACTTACAATATAAACATAAAATTAGTATATAATAATTTCTGTTCAAACAGTCTCACATGCCACCCATGGAAATACTTGAATCATTTTGTATCTATTTGTAACCTAACAATATGATACATGTATCAAACGTTCGGTGAACTGTTCCACCCCTGCAGGATATGGGCAACCTCCTAAGCTGTCATATACAATGCTATGAAGATAACCATTAATAACATGCAATCAAACAAGTCACTGAGCCTGCACTACTCCTTTTTAGAAGCAAACAGAGTGCTGAGACATGGGGACATGTTTAATACAGGTCCCCACGAGGTTATACATCAGCAGCAGGTCCAAAGATGTACATGAATGTACATCCGGGAGCACCTTTAGAATACAGTACCACAACTTCTTGTAAGGACAATCTCTGTCGTAGGTCACCTTTTAAGGCAAGGTTTACTCAAAGACAAGCAGCCAGTTTTTGTGAAAATCAGTCGGATTGCTAGCCTGACAGCTAACCGACTGAGATACCTCCACACTGTGAAACTAAGTACAAATTTACCTAGTCATGCCTACACCATTACGGAACTGAACGAAAAGGGTCGAATAGGTGACGGACACTTACAAAGTAGGCATGGTATCTCGTGACTTTAGTCTATGGACACTTACAAGTGATGCCGATGCCATTTGGCACACTCATCCCAATGGGTAATCTACAAGATACCGAGTGGTGAGGATTGAGCTGATATGGGGCGAACTGAAAACAGCTCTTGGCGTCGCGGGTACGCATTAATGACATGGTATTTAATAATTTGTCGGGTGATTTTTGTGACAGAAAAGTGTGATAGGGAACACTGTAAGGATAATGTGGATAATTGTAAGGAACGAGGGAGGCATAACCATGGCTAGAGACAGTACAAGGGGAGTTTCATTTTGAATCGTTACTGAATAAATGTACCGGGTGAAAGTGGCTTGTGTGAATGTTCCAGGACAGTTTCCCCTAGCCAAAATATTTGACACTAAACTATTTCATCCTTTTCTCTCCAATTTTTTTTGTGAAGAATATTAGAAGCCTCTATACAGCCACTAAACGGGTACTTATTAGTTCCCATTAATAATCATTTTAGGCACTTGAATTACGAAAAAACAAAATAAGAAGTATATTTAAAATAAAGTGCTTTCATACACTAGTGCTTGCTAGAAAATGCGGTGTCACAGGACATATTTGTTTAACAAATATTCAAACTCTCAAAATCGCTGGGCATATTCAATGACATTGCGTGTAGAGATGATAGATCACTGGGAGGAGATTATGCACGCGCGATGACCCCTGACGTCACAGGGCATTGTTTCGCAGGTGTGACTTGAAACAAAATACTACAAATTACGTCACAAGGTATTGTCACGTGTTTGAAAAGTTTCTGGTGCTGTATTCTAAATAGGCCTACATACGTAGGGTGTCTCACGCCTATATTTTGATTTATTAAAGTGGTTAAACAATAAAGTATGGATATGACATGTTATCAGTTACATGTTATGATATGTCAGTAATCATCTTTAAGCGGACGTATTTCAGTACCTAGAAGACATCGCTTGCCGCCGTCAGTTACATTGTAAGCTAACGGCGTGTACCGCCACTGACGGGCACCTATTTACATTGGCAACACACGATTAAAGCGGAATTAAACCCAAGTGCAAAGTTTGATGGCAATCATATATATCGGATGTGGTGACACGTGTGATATTCTTTCATTAACAAAAATGTCGTTACATAATTATCAGGCTGTTATCATAAATGCACGGGTTTTATTGTTTACATTCCGCGATTACCTTCGTCCGCCATTTTGAAATGTTCCCGCTGAGCAGGAACGGGGCGAATAGATCGCGATCAAACATTATTTCACATAGTTTAAAACGCTCTTACATTTGCTTTAATTTTTTTCATATTACCTTATATTATGTGTCAAGCATATAAATGGATAAAAATAACTATCCGTGATATATTAAAAAATAACTAATAACATTTACTCCGTCTCGTATATCAGTCTTTCCTTTTCCGGTCGCAATCATGAAGTAAGCCAACTTGGCTACATGCCTTCTTTATCCAAGCAATCCCGAATATATTTGTCAGTAAATGAAAATAAAAACGTTACCTTCTACCAGTATATATCTCTTTCCATCTCATATGCGTTTTATTTTTCTTCCAGGATCGAACTGTGTTCGTACAGCGGATACAAAATATACCCCGGCCATGGGAAGAAAATGGTCAAGGCTGACGGCAGGGTATTTACACTAATATTTTCGCTACATGTGTTTATCGACGTGCTTCTAACATTATATTTGGGGTTGGGAAGAATAAGTCCAGCTATTCGACACAGATAAGCTATTGATATATCTTATAAATTCACTAGAAAGGTGACAATCGTCAATAAACAGCTTAAAACGGGTCCATGTTTGGGAACAGACTAATATTAATTAAGATTTGCTTGCGACAACTCGAAAAGAGTGATATGACACACAACATGGTACTTTAACGCAGATACGCAGACTCTGTCTGTCTTTCCCAAGAAGGAGTAAAAGGAACACCTGACACCTTCAATTACACAAAACTCAATCTCACTAGGCCTACTAGAAGAATATATGAATACCAACAATGCATAAATCTGGGGACCACTAAAATACATTTTATCCTATTAAAACAATCCATACCTGCTATGTTTCTTGGTCAAAAAGACAAATTTCTGTGGTCCCTTTTTTGTAGAATCTGCAACCAATTTTTTATAATTCTGCAAACTTTAGCTTAATTTTCTAGTTTGCACTTGTTTGACAAGTTCTTAAAATACCCATCTCCCGACAGTCCGAGACATCCTATTTTGCCGACTGATGGTCAGTTTTAAAAAGTTGCACGCCCAATGGTCGAATGGTGAAAACGTACCATCATGCACTTTGACCATGGAATCGAGAAATACAGCGGGGAGTGAGACAGTGCTAACATGGCTAATGGTAGAGCAGATACAGTATCATAGCTTTGTACTGCGCCACTATTACTTTCCGACATCCATTTGTAGCTTAATCATGTAAATGTTTTGCTGACGTTAACACTACCACAGACATTTTTTATCCCTACAATCAGCTGTTAATCATTTATCCCCAAATCATTTATCTTTAAGAACGCCAAATATTTTGATTGAAAATGTAGTTTGTCAAAACATTGACTTGTATTGTAAATACAAAGGGGTCAAGTTTTCTATGATTTGGATTGAAGGCAGCATACAACTTAATGATCTCTCTGTCATTAATGTTTGCAATTGTTAAAATAAATTAACATGCAATGGCTAGTTTTTTTAAATATCACATTTGTTTTGTTCTCATCATTTATGGTTTTGGTGTAATTAACAATGTTTAACAATGTTGCACTGTGAGCTAGTTAATCAGATCCTTCTCTGGTGAATTATGTTCATTTTAATAAGCATCATGAGACCTAAACAGAAGTATTCGTACCCTAAAGATATATCTGAAAGTAAAAGGATCTTTATCTTAGTCTTCTTGAAACTACTTTTGTATTCTAATAATAGGTTCCCAGTACCCTATGCTTATCATAAAATGCTCATGTGATGAGGTTCGGGTGGTTTCATGTGTACCTTGGCTGATAGTGTGTAAGCTGACCCCTACATGGATCTTTGCTCATCCAGTCAACCATTGGTTTGCCTTGCCCAAGTTCAATTATGTACAGGTTGTTGTGTAAGGCAGATGTGTAATCAAACACACAGTCAGTATTTGGCGTTTTATTTTTTGTTACTTGCTTTATGACAAACTGATCTTAAAATCCAAGCATTTCCAGTGAACCCCGTTGTGATATAGCAGGAATATTTCCCAAAACATCAGAAAACCATCCACTCACTGACCCGTGAAGATTCCGGGGTAGAATAGGTCTTCAGCAACCCATGCTTGTCGTAAAAGGCGACTAACGGGATCGGGTGGTCAGGCTCGCTGACTTGGTTGATGCATGTCATCGATCCCAATTGCGTGGATCGATGCTCATAATATTAATCACTAGATTGTCTGGTCCAGACTCGATTATTTACAGACCGCCGTCATATAGCTGGAATATTGCTGAGTGCGGCGTTAAACAACAAACCAACCAACCAACCAACCAACCATACACTCACTCCTCAAAAAGCATGTTTTTGTTAACATGGTTAATGCTGAGTATGATAATTACACTTATAAATAAAGAGTAACATTGTTTCCCTGCCTGACTCAGACAAGTGCATAATCATGATAATGATCCATAAATGTTAGGTGAAATACTGTGTGCAGGGATTAATCTAGATACATGTACATGTATTCAGCCTTAAGTCGACAGCTAGTAGTGTAAAAAAATTCCAATTGGAATTAATATTTCCAATTTCATGTTAGCAGCTGGTTATTACATTTGAAACTGGACCCGTGACGATCTTGGGAAGAATAGGTCTTCAGCAACCCATCCATGCTTGCCTTAAAAGGTGACTAACAGGATCGGGTGGTCAGGCTCGCTGACTTGGTTGATGCATGTCATTGTATCCCTATTGAATTGATCGATGATCACGTTATCAATCACGATATCAATCACTGGATTGTCTGGTCCAGACTCAATTATTTTCAGACCACCGCCATACAGCTGGAATATTGCTGAGTGCGGCGTTAAACAGCAAACAAACACTGAATTGAATTAAATGTTTGAAATAATGATAACCAGAAAGGATTGTATCTGTTCTATCAGGTGTTCCAGTTTCTTAACAAGAAATGTGAACGTTCCCACAACATGAAGCGCAACCCTCGTGAGATCAACTGGACAGTGCTGTACAGGAGAAAGCACAAGAAGGGTCAGACTGAAGAGGTTTCCAAGAAGAGGACCCGAAAGACCGCCAAGTTCCAGCGAGCCATCACTGGTGCCACCCTCAATGACATCATGGCCAAGAGGAACCAGAAGCCTGAGGTCAGGAAGGCACAGAGAGAGCAGGCCATCAGGTAATCTTAGACACTGATGATTTATCATCGAAGCTTGATAGTCACTATTGTACATTATCCACATAACAGTACTTGGTCAATAATGTTTTTGCAAACTGGAACTGGAAATTGCTTTGCCCATATGCAGCTTGACAACCACTTAAATCCACGATTGACTTAAAGGGCAAGTTCACACGGAAATGAACCAATTTTTCTTGTACTTTTTCCACATTAAAAGTGTTAACATAGAAGTGTCATAGACAAAAATATAAAAACATCATATTTAATTAACATATTTTTTGCATTAAAACGATTTATATTTTTCACATTTACCAAGTGTTCTATTTCCATAACAAAAACACCATGGCTTATGCCCCTTGCAATATGACGTCATTGGTGCCAATTGATAAACATTATGACGTCATCATGCTTTGTTAGAGCCGCTTCACGTGGTGTAGGTACAGTCTTGTGATTCTAGCGTCTCAGATGCCAGCCAGAATTGTGTTATGCTGAGTCACCACTGCGCCGGAGTGTGTCGTAGACCATGTTGTTTTACCGCAAACTGGTCCTTGATATCTTTTGCGTTGAGAATAGACAGGGACCCAGTTGAATTGGCACCAATTACGTCATAATCTAAGGGGGATAACTCAGGCCTATTTCGCTCGTTAAACGAAGGCCTCATAACGACATATCATTTTAACACTATTGTGAGCTTCCTACTTTCACTGTGAAAAAAAATGAGTGTATATTTTCAAACACAGATACTAACTAATTCTAAAATTGCGTTTTGTTTAGAAAAAGAAAGAAAGTGATTTTTGCGTGTACACTTCCCCTTTAAGTATTTAACCATTGCTAAGCAAAGATTTTTTCAATGAACAAAATTGGCATGAAGTCTGTTTTAGGAAAATAAGCATTAAATAATCTACAAACTTATTGCGTTTGATTATTTTTTCAATGAGCTATGAGTGTCCTTTGTTATATCAAACCCGAACATTGCTACATGAATTTGTGTATGGTTACATTAAATACGTATATTCTGAACGGAATATGGTGTAAAAAAATCCTTTCACGACTTGGTGTATTGTTCCAGCTGTAGTTGCAAACTAGTTAGTTATCGGTTTTAGTCCCTCAAACTCTGATGGCATCTTTGTTCCCCAGGGCATACAAAGAGAAGCAGAAGACAAAGGACACACAGAAGAAGGCATCCAAGGTAAGTGTGTCAAGCTGAGCTGAATTCATTATGAAAAACTTTCAAATATTCATTTGCCATGCAAATGATGCTCATTTGGAAAAAAGATGGAAATATGCCTTTTCAAAACTGAGATGTGCACAATGTTTTCAAAGTACTTACATAAGTATCTCAACCTTGGAAACTTTTGCATCGGTTGAAATGAGATCCTGGACTCCAACTTGATACCTCTCCGTCAAGCTTTAACAAACCCTCAATAGTGATTCTCTTCAGATGAACCTTGAGCGATCTTGTGTGGGGTTTTGAGTGAAGTAGATGTTAGCTTTCTAAAAGGATTCATAATTCACCTGACGAGACCTCATGGAGGGTTGTCAGGCCTTGATGGTGAAAGGAATTGAGTCAAAGTAAAAGTTCTTATTTAAATGAGATTGGATATTTCATAATTTACATAACAGTTTTTTTGTACAACCTTTGTAATGTCATTCCATGAGCTATTGGCATGATACTTGTTACCCCTTGGAGGTACTTCTTTTTTTTTTTTAGCAAATGAAACAAAACTTGACAGCTCACCCTTTACAATTAATCAATGGCTGCAATTGAAAAGTTCTTTGTACTCAGTGAAAATCTTTAATTAAAGCCATTTTCCAAATTACATTACAAGTTAATCATTGAGAATATGCAA